CGGGGTGTAAAAAAAGCCCCTCCCAACAGGTATTTGGGGCTCAAGGTTTAATTTTGAGGGGCGTCATAATCATGTCGCCACTTTGTTTAGAAAGGGTCACCGGATAACCACAAACCCTGCAACTCCAAAACTACAAACGGCAAACATGACACTCACAATCTCCGATGCAACGCCCTGCAGCCCCACGGCCCAAATCCGGGGCTAATAACCCCTCAGCCTCCATACATAACCCGAAACCTTAAAGCTACAAACCCTGAACCCAACAGCTTACACCCCAAAAAACCCCAAACTGGAAGGCTCCCAAGGAGCCAAATGGTGAGGTTGCCGGACTCGCCCTGCTCCAGCAGCTGGCTGGAGTGATTGACTACCTCGTCATTTCGACAAAGACAAGAAAAATCACGGCAGTAGTAGAAGTAACAATAATCATGTTGATTATTAGTATTATCGCTATTATTGCTAATCGTAACCATTACTATTGTCATTACCGTCATTATCAGCATTTCTTTCATTATTGCTATTATTACTAGTACTTGGACGGATTTTCTCGGACTTAGCCAAGGCTTCTGTAAGGGCTTGTATAACGCTGCTGAAAGGGTTCTACAGAGGTTTTGGCTTTGGGTGGGTTTTCAGGATCGTAGGATTTGGCCTTTCTGAGCTGGGGTTTCCGGCTTTGGCGCTTTCGGGTTGCAGGGCTTCGGTTTGACTGCTGAGGATGTGCCGGCCCATCACCAGTATGATCAGTTTGCAAGCTCTGTTTGAGGGCTGCTCTCGCATCCCTGCAAATAGGCAGAGCTGAGGCGCAGCTTGCGGCAAGAACAGAGTAGGGGTTCCGGTGTCCATGGTGCACTGGCCAATCGCCCTCCCAGTGCAGTTGAAGCCGACAAACTCCTCATCACCCACGGAGATCCGCTGAATATTGACGTCAAACCAGCCGAACTCCCCAAGGGCAACAGGGCCCACAACGGATTCGGCATCGTAGTGCTCGTTTACGACGTCCTCATCGATGTAGAGCCTCGCCTGCTCTTCTCCGAGGTCTCCGGACCAGTAGATGCCCAGCATCTCCTTATGCCATGCCACTTAGGGTTTAGGGGCGTTGAGGGGTGCTGCTGGAGTTCAGGTGGCACTCCAATGCGGCGCTGACATTCTCACCGCACGACAACCATGCGTTGCATCCTTGCAAGCATAGTGCCCCTAGTGCTTCTGTTCAGGCCATCACCATGACGATTAGTATGATGATGATGATGATGATGATGATGATGATGATGACGATGATGCTTCGTCGACGCCGACGAAGCTGAGGATGAGTCCGGTGGTAAGGATGATGGTCTGGATCCTGCTGATAGGGAGTTTAAAGATCATGATGATGGTCATGATACCGCTGTTGCAGCTGCTGTTGCTCTCGATGATGATCATGATCAGCGACGATATCTGGAATTGTCTTCCCACTGGTTCGGAAGTTCAGTAATCCCCTTGCCAAGCGTCTTACAACTGCTGCTCATAAGGTCCGCTAGGGGTGTTTAAGCTTTCATCGCCAACAAATAATTGCATTTAGACACCATCAAAACATCAAACCCCAAGCCTAAGCAAGTCCCAAGTAGCCGAATCTAAACCTTTAAAAATACGGTCAATCTTCAGCAAAGCTTCCACACCGCCGGAAGCCTTAGTTGCGGGGGAAGCTCCAAGGCAAAGTTGGTGACACCGAGACAAACATTTGCAGAAACTACACAGAGCCAGCTCTCAACCCTAAAGATGAGTCGGGAATCCTCTAAAGAACTCTGGGTGAAGAACGGAGGCTGAGCATTCAAGAAGCCTGGAGCTGATGCAGCAGCGGTGGCGGCAACAACGTTTCGTTCTTGATGGGGCACGCTGCTGTGTCGTTCCAGTTCGAGAAAGACTCGATGGGCACGCCAGCCTGGATGTGCGAACTTGAGTGCTCTTCACCTTTTTCTTGCTACTATTAATGGATATTGCCATGGTTGCTACTCCACAAAATCCGACTTTCACGACACGAGTTGCCCGTCTTTGGCCCAGAGGTTGCTAAAGAGATTACGCCTTTCAGAATCATATGTGCCTGTCATCCTTGCAAAGGAGCCAGGCCACCCTTCTTTCTCTGTATGATTCCAAGCTTGTCGGCTAACCTCCGAGTGGAAGCCAAGAAGCTGAATGTCCACTAGAGCATGATCCAAGGTCTGTTCCGGAGGCTCAGCTTGCACGCAATATCTAGAAGCTAGAGCAATCTTCTCTTCAATGGATTTCTATCTGACCGTTGTCTGTGAGAGTCCTGTGGCTATTCGGAGGTCAGTTCACTACGCACGTTTCAAACCTTGTCGTCGTCCCTCGTTGAAGAGTCCTGCCTCAAGGGTCTTTGGTGCGACATCTACAGGCCGTAGTATTGTACGACTAGATCTGTGCTGTTGATTCAAGAACCATGCAAATCCCTAAGCCCTAAACCCTCAAGCCCTATANNGTAAACCCGAAAACCCTGAACCCTAGCTAGCTAATGTAGCTTGCAGCCGGAACATCGATCTCCCAGGCTTCAGAAGCAAAGGTAAACGCCCACGGCTCTGACCAAGGCACTTCTCACAAACAAGGTCCCCACACACAGCCCGGTCAAGTCTCCCCCGGAGGTGAAGAGTCTTCGATTGCAGTTCAGGATCTAAACACGTGTAATTAATTTAAGAGGCCAGAAGAGTGGGGTATCGTATAGCACAATAATCTAAGAACCAAAACGGAAATCCATTACTACTCAATTATTCCGCCCCCTACCGTAGCTGCATCTTTGGCAGGTGGCATCAAGCTGCTGGAAAGCAATGCCGAAGATCCCTTCAACGCCATCGCTGCATGGCATACCGACCTCTTTCGGGCTTGGGCTTGCTTCTTCAAGGGTTGTTTGAACGCTCCATCAGGCTTCTAAGCATAAGGATCACGGGGGCTCGGGCTTTAGCGTTTCGGATCATGGAGAGGGTGTCATGTTTAGGGCTTGCGGGCCTTAGAGGGGCTAGCTAGGCCAGCGAGAATCGCAATGTCAGGCCTGGTTTGCCATGACACTGTAGGTGGAGTTGTGCATGGAGAGATTGCCAGCGGTGAGATCGCCGACCACGAAAGGCCCCCAATACCCTGTGTAGTTGCCACCTCAGAGACGAGGAAGCTACAAGCTGGGGCCAGTCAGGCAGAACACAGAGTCGTTTAGGGTTTAGGGTTTA